AATAGTAAGCTATTTTAAATCGCTAGTATTGCAATAGCACCTATCTCAAAGTGATTCACGTACACAATTACATTTTTATAGTTTTTTTTTTGTATTTACAAATAAATGGTGTGGAAGGGTTAAACGGATGTTTATATGGAAACGGAATGAAACGCGACCAGAGGAAATACTTTATAAGGGCGAACGATCGTAACACAATCGATAATAAAAATCGATTATGGTAAATACGTTACGACGCTAAAGCAGCTGCTAGTTTCGAAACGAGAAAATATTCATGTCAGCGATGTGTACGATTGTTAGAATAAGGCGGTAGTTTTAAATTTTAATCACATCTATACAAGTGGGGACTTTTTGGCGGGAACGTGAGGAGTGTAGTGGTGATTTGTTTTATTTTGTCTATTTAGTGTTTTCTCGGGTTTAAATGTGTAATAACGGTGGTTTATTAACTGTTAATTGTCTGTGAAACTGCACAAACGTGGGATAATCAAATAAAGCCGCTGAACGTAACTTCTCGGGATCCTCCAAAAACTCCACTGAAAAAGTCTCAGTAAATGACCACCATTTTACTGAGATTATATTTCATACCATATCAACTCATTTCATTTCACTTTATATTATCATTTTTCATAAACATAAGAATATACTTAAATTAAAACAAGACTTGACCTAAAGGTCTTAATTACCAGGTCATAAAATCCCTTAAAATATCTATACAAGTCTTTAAGAGATTGGTTCACGTGAACCAAATAAGATTTTTTTATTTATTTTTATTGCTTAGATGGGTGGACAAGCTCACAGCCCACCTGGTGTTAAGTGGTTACTGGAGCCCATAGACATCCACAACGTAAATGCGCCACCCACCTTGAGATATAAAGTATAGTTACAGCGGCTGCCCTACCCTTCAAACCGAAACGCATTACTGCTTTACGGCAGAAATAGGCAGGGTGGTGGTACCCACCCGTGCGGACTCACAAGAGGTCCTACCACCAGTAATTACGCAAATTATAATTTTGCGGGTTTCATTTTTATTACACGATGTTATTCCTTCACCGTGGAAGTCAATCGTGAACATTGAACTTGTAATCGGTCGTGTTAATATTTTTTTCCTACCTAATCGCTGGTAGCCTAGGGGGCTATTTCAATTACTCCCGTAAGGGTAGGCGAGCTCACGGGCTTAAACTTACGAGAATTTGCCTACACTAGCCCTAGCAAGAGCAGTGCTTCGCTGAATCTACTACCGGATCGCAATTGTGTTAATTGTCGGAGTCTATGTCATCAGAAACAACGAACATAATAAGTATTTATAGTAAGAAAAGCAATGTGCTTATATGAAATACTTTATTTAAAGCGCACCAAGACTTTTTTATCTGAGAACAGAAGTACGCGAGTCTTTTTTTTTTAAATAAAAACGCAGGTAACTTTTTAATAGAAGTGCGGGTAGTTTTTTTGTTAAATTTAAAACAGGTACGTTACTTGGGTGTGCGTTTTTGTATACCTACTGAAGTTTGCCGGTTGAAATGTAGCCGTAAATTTTGCGCTGCCGAAGAATCTAGATTTCTTTGATATTTTTAATAAATACTGTTATACCGGTAAGAGAAATTTTATTTATCCCGAACATCAGCGCGTAACAATACAAAGTATTATATAAAAGACAGTGTATCGGACCTTAAATAGGGACACAGGATTTTCTTTTATTTTGGCAATTGAAAACAAAAGAGCATCCGCCCCCTCCCAGATGTGAAGTCGTCACCGTCGCTCATGTAGTTCAGCAATGCCAGGGGTTTAGAAGTCCATTCCAGAGCCAAGCGGTACGTGGAAGAAAGGCTCTTTGGAAACACACTGTGGATGAACTCCGTTGTGGAGGCGAAAGGTGCGATGGTAAAAACGTAATGACGGTCTTTTTTAAATGATAGAATCTGGAGTTTTAAAAATCTCAAATGGAAGTAGCTAGCTGGTATGAGTGAATAATTCAAATACATTGATTTTCCTTTAGGCAACATATTCGGAATTCGGATACTTTAAATAAATATATTCTAGAATTGTATGTCGTTGAATCGAATATTATTTGAAATTTATCGTTTGAAAAATTTGAATTATATATCAAATTTATTACTATTAGCGACATCTAGTGAGGAACACAGAAAGTAAAATACCAATTCACCATTATAAATAATTATTTATATGTTAAAAAGACATGTGCTATATGCATTATTTTAGTGTATAGTTATTAAAATATCAAAATATGTGTCTGTAGAGGTTTGAAATTTTGCGCATTTCCTTGCACGGGCGCCCTCTATGAGCGGATCGAGAAATTAAAAGTTTTAGACTACTTGATCACAGAGGGCAATAGTTACTTACCGACGCCATCTAGCGATCAATAGCAACATGACGTGCTCGCTTGATCAGCAACAATCCGAACAGCGCCATCTAGCGAAAACACTGCATCCAATGTACACCACAACACATTTTTGTAACACAAATATTTTCTTACACGTTTTGTTTTAGTAATTAAAACCACAATAATACAATAATATCCTCCGTGATTTTGGCACTTTCTTTTTCGTGGCACTTTTATTACACTTCCACATGTTGTTTGTTATTTGTGGCAATTTTTTCACCTGTAACAAGAAAAAAGGCACACTTTATTAATGTATTATATTTTTGCTTTCTAATAAGATGTACTTCTATTCTAGAATAGGTTTAAACATAATAGGCACAACAATTAAATTCACATTACATGTAGTGAATATTTAATGAGGCTTCAAATTATTTGAAATGAAGCAGAGAAACCAATTTTGTCGACTAACAAAACTGTTATCAATACCAATCTCTTAACCAAAATTTAATACTCTCATGGCAATTCAATTTGAATTGCATTAAAAATATACACAGTAGAAGTTTTTGGTATATTTTCAAAAGTAGTTTACATTTTATGATATTGGCCTGAATTTCTTTATCAAATTTAATATGCCGTTCACATATCCCTTAAGCATTTTCCAGAAGATTACACTATTTACTATTTAATATTATCTACAGAAAATTACTACTAAACAATAAAAAGTTTTATTTACCAATGTATTTTTCTTTCATAAACATTAAAAATATGGGTATGGTGATTTTTTAAAGATTAAAAAATACCATATTATCATTATTCTAATAATTAGACCATTAGCACTTGGCTACAACAGGCATTTTAATGTCATGTTTTTGTTTATTTTTTCAGTCCACCATTATTATTTCTCTTTCATTTATAATGTAATTTTATAGTATTAGTGGTCTATATTACTTAATAACATCAATAAATCTTTATAACATGAAATTATAATAATATTGTGTGGAGATTGGTAATTTGGGCATGTGCTTTTACTAGAATGTAGGTTAACCAATCAATTTGAAATAATATGTGATTTTTTTACAATTTCGGGCCACAGTGACGCAATAAATTAAATACGCGAAATGCCCGTATGATTATTCAGACGATAGAAACTTTGCAAACTGCATAAAATAAACACAAACAATGTGACCTTTCTTCAATGCCCTTCACAATTTTTCATGTTTTTGACGTGTTTATTTTCTTTCAAGTTATTAAAACACAAAGGTACGTACCACTAACACTTCATCCGACGTAAATGTTTCAGAATATCTGCATAACATTGAGCTAAGCACGGCGTAAATAGGAAAATATCGAAACCAACCTAAGTTTTCGTCACACATTTCTAGCCACGTTTTTATACAAAAATGATATTAACGACTATCTAATATGCTTAAATTTAAAAATTAGAATACTTTTCTTTATACTAATTTACTTTTCATGCAGTAAAATGACTGAGATTTTAAGTTAAGAGTTAAAAAATGCAAGCACGTGCACTCGACAATGCAATTATATGCACCGCATAAATAAATACTTAAAACAACAATATAACGTTAGGTTGGCCTGCCACACACAATTGCTTTCATATAAAACAATATCCACAAAATAATTCACTTCTTTACATGTAAACTTTATAACCAATTCGAATTACAGCGGCTGAAAAAACTACACAAAGAAAACATATGATCGATCGAAATTGAAGTGCACATGGACTTGTCTATGGAATCTATGGTTTGTTCTACTGTCATTTTTGAAGTTAGAAGTTTCAAATTTTCGTCTTTTTAGGTGGCGCTACTTACGAAAAACGAAACATGCGAGCAAAAAGCTACTCGAAGATTGAGCTTAGAATTTCGAGGTGGCCATATAAATGGCTTTTATTGTTTCACTATCTATATTTAGTCTTTCTAGAGATTTTCGAAAAGCAGGAATTTTAGTTGATTAAAATGAGGGTCTTCCCATGAAACCATGAAAACAAGCCCGATCAGAAGATCAAATAGTAGTAGTATTTTAATAATTTAAATGTTGACAAACATCACGAGCCTTAAAAATTTTCTCTTCGACCAGAGAACACATTCAGCATTTAAATTGTAATTTGATAAATTCTTACCAGAGTTTGGATCCGCTACAAGGTCTGAATGTTTAACAAGAAGTTTCTTAGGTTCAAGTTCAGAAAATATCCAATTACTTTATTAAAAGATTATTTCATTTTATTCCAACTCGTTCATGTTTATGTAGTTTATAAATTCAATTCATTAATATTATTTCAGGTTATATTTAAATTTAAATAAATTAATTCGTTTCATTTTCGTATAATAAATCGTTTATGCCTTTTTTAACGTATTATATTTTTGAATCGGCAGTTATCATAGAATAAATAAAGTACGCTAAAAACACGAAATCTATCGACGAAATTTTCAAGATGAGCTTGAATATACAAAGCTTTTAAACCAGAGCGCTCGGACTGTCGAACAAAATAAAAGTTCAGTAGAAGATTAAATTAAGATTTGACTTATAAGACAGGCAGGCAGACAAATTCAACCCATTAAATTAATAAAAAACAGCATATATTTCTAAAACTCACCTACGCTAAAATGTGACTGAGTCTTTTGGGTGTAAATAATTTCTACCTTTAGCATGTTGATGTCATTATGGCCTGAAATTTAAAACACTACATTCAATTTTTTTAACCAAATTAATTATCTTAGGGCTTAACAAAAATTTTAATCTTACCGGATCATTTTCAATCCAGAGGCTCTCAAATTCCTTTTCAAATTTACCAACAATATTTGGATGTGAAGTAACTATTACACTCTCATGATTAGATACCATGGCATGGGTGGACCAATTCAATGAACCGGACATAACGAAACCTTTAACAGGTTTATATTTCGTTGTTTGTTTTGCACTTTTATTGCATTGAGAATACACATTCAACTTTTCGGCATAGGTCTTTAAGGTGTTTTTGCGTTTAATAGCCTTAGGCCCATCAATGATGCAGAATTTGTGATGCATTAGTATTGACTTCTTGCTTGTTTGTATTTGGATGAAACCTGCAATAACAAGGTAAAAATTGAAATAGTGAGGTACATCTCACAATAATAAGGCCAGGAGATCTTGCAAGATAGCAGTTCTTCTTGATATTAATCAGAACCGATACCCTTAACTTCGGCCGTGGCTAGCTTGAAATTTAGCGGATTGTGTCTCAAGTTCAAGATACCCTTAACAGGGCAACAAGGTTTACGCCTTCAAGATATTTGCTCATAAATGGAAATGTACTTTAATATTTGTGAAAAATATTGCTTCAGCAATCGAGTATTTGATAAAACTTAAATACTCACTATATTCTTTCAGCTTCTTGATTTGTGACGGCGGTGTGTAAGCCATGTCGCTGTCAACGACTATTCTCACCAAAATGTGTTTTTGTCCCAGTCGTATAATCTGCTCAGCAATTTCGTTGCTCGTGATAAGATACATACAAACGTCTAGCGTTTCTCTCGCTGACTTTATGTATTTAATCAACTTGAAACAATTTAATTCACGACTTTCACATATGGTTATTTCTTTGTTTGGTGGTACTCTGATGGTATGACGAATAACATCGTCCGAAAATAAGATGACATCGTTTATTTCACGATTTCTGTTAGTTAGCAGTTCGCAAGAGTCATTGATATTAAATTCAGGAGATGATTTTGCCTTTTCGTTGAAAAAATAATTGTAAATCTTTTTGGCTACCTGTGAAGCGACGATCACAGCGGCTGCAGTTGTCAGGAAAAACTTTGTACTTTTGAAGTCCATTATTATTATTGCACTTTAAAATATATGTACAAACCGCAAAGTTTTAAAATACTAAATTACATCCAAAGCCCACCATGCTGTCCACGCATTTGTAAACTGTCGATCTTAAGCTTTTTTTAACTACCCTCGAAATGCTGTTTTTCCAGATTTATTTTTAATATTTTGATGCTATATGAAATGAGTCAATGCAATAAGGAAATTTCGCAGCTTTAGTTAAAAATCTGAGCATTAGTAATTGAAGGGTTGAAAGTTATGGTTAAAATTTAAATTAATTGAATTTTTGTCTGTGTCCTGCTTAAAGTGTTGATCCGTGAGCTGGCCTATTCATCTAAAGGAGACATAATATTAAGCCATTGAAGGTTATGNAATATTTTGATGCTATATGAAATGAGTCAATGCAATAAGGAAATTTCGCAGCTTTAGTTAAAAATCTGAGCATTAGTAATTGAAGGGTTGAAAGTTATGGTTAAAATTTAAATTAATTGAATTTTTGTCTGTGTCCTGCTTAAAGTGTTGATCCGTGAGCTGGCCTATTCATCTAAAGGAGACATAATATTAAGCCATTGAAGGTTATGAAGTTTATTGAGAGCGAAAAATTAGAAGAAGACCGCGTTTAAGATAAAAAATTTGAATTTAGAAAAATAATTAAATAGAAACTTTAAATTCGTAAACTTCTAGTACCTATGTAAGGCAATATCATTCATTTTGCTGCAATTTTCAAGAAATTTTTGTATTTTATGTACCTCTAAGCACAGGATTCTCACTCAATGCGATCATCGTTGACATTGACAATTTGACATGTCAAATAATCGCTCAGTTTGATTTTGATTGATCAAGTTTGAAAATAAGAGATAAAATAAACAAAGGTGCTTGCTCGGTTCATAAATTGTTGCATCGTTATGTGACAATAGCGTACCAATTGTAGTTGGAGCTTGTGTCATAAATCTTAAGAAAAAGCCGTCGATTATTCAAAGAAAAAATATAGAAAAACCAATACAACAAACTACCGTTTACGTCCATTTCTGAAAAACGATCAATGAAGCTTACCGTGTATTTTGACTAAAGAAAATGCCTAAAATACCATATAAACCAGAAAAGTCTGGTGGAAATGACGATGACTACGAAATTGTTTCGTTCGATGATTTTTCCGACAAATCTCCGGGTTCGAAAACTGATTTATTAACTTTGAATGATAACATAAATTATCGTCTCTATTACGAAGCAGATAAACAATCAAAATACCTAGAAAACAATGGAGAATCATCCAAAGGTATTGACAGTCATACAGAAACGTCGCTGAATGGAGCAAGAAATGGATCATTCAGAAAATTATCAAATTCTTTTGTCCCATTCGGAAAATCCGGCGGGAAGACTCACACGCCGTTATTTAGCGGCGTTAAGTCTAAGAATGAAAATGAATCTTCATCTAGAGAACACAGGTAAGTGATTATCTCATTAACCATTTCATATTAAAATTTCCCACTTTTATAAGAAGACTGTCACTTTATCAATGTGTTTTTGTGATAGTGGTGCCACATCTTAGCGCGCGAATAAACTACACTCTTGCAAAAACCCCTGTTGTCGTAATTCTAATAATTATTTTTAATTTTTTTGAGTGCAGAACTACTCATTACTGTTTGAGAATACTCTTGTCAGATATTTTATAGTCCAAATTAAACTATCATCATATATTTAGTAAAAGTTTAGTACACGGTAATGCAGTAAAAATTATAAGTTTTAAGAATAAATTTTCAGTAATGATAGAACTTTTCTCCAACATGGTACTTTTCTTGCTCGTAATGGAAAGGAAGCCACTCTCAGTCTATTATTGAACTGATAGGTCTTAATGTCTGATGAGTAAAGTAATGGTGACTCCCCTGGTACCAGTCCAGAATGTCCTATTTTAGTTCTTTGTCTATAACAATTGGCTATGAGTTTGATATATCACAACTACTCATGGAAATGAAGCTTAGTGACTATTGTAATATTAATAGTAAAAACAGATTATTATATAAAGGGAATCAAGTGACCAGACAACAAGTGACATGCAATTTTGATAACTGCATCCCTCTAATAATGTTAATTTTTATCATTTTCACAAAATAATAGATGATGATAGCAAAGTTTAATGTAAGAATTATCTCAAAATGAGATAGCGTTCATAAAGGAAGGAGGATTTGAAGGAGCTATCTTAAAAAAAGTATTTTTGACTAACAAATTTAAAAAATAGCAATAGTTCAGTAGTTTGTAACAAAAAATGCACAGTTTATTAGAAATAACTTGGCTTCTAGCCATATCTATTTTGGTAACATTTTTTGTGCAATTCATGAATGTTTGAGGCATGGAAGCAATAGGAATGAAATAATTTACAGAATGTCAGTGTAAATGTTGTATCAATTGCAAATAGTAAATGATAGATAAAAAAGTATCAAACTGAAAGCAAACCATATTTGTTAATACCTAATAGACACACTCAATGTTTATATTTAAGCAGGACAAAGTGCAAATGAATAATCAGGACACATTTCCTTTGTTTAAATTATCTTTAGATTACAAACAGAACCTAATAATAAATTGAACTTTGTACAGAATAATATCTAACTGTTCAAATATAGGTTAAAGTGTCTTGCAGTAAAAACCATTGTTTCCTTATTTGAAGTTTAGATATAGATTGTTATGTATAGTTTTCATTATATACATAGATATAGATTGTTTCCTTGTTTTCTGGGATCAATGTATATAGATATAAATTTGAATTGGAAATATGAATAAACCTTCCATTAAATTAAATTAAGTCTTTGAATTACATTTATAATTTCTAATTGTTCAATGAAGACATGCAAATATTTTTTAAAATATTCATCAACAATATTTTCTACAGTTATATATATATAAAATTATTCTTCATCGCTTTCTTTATTACTGAAGGTGGTGACCTTCAAACTTGACCATGGCTTGCCTCATGAGCTGTTTTCACTTTGTCCGATCCTCAGCTACTCGTAGGGCGGTTGAGACTGGCAGCCCAGTTAGGGTGGTTATTTGGTCACAACAGCAGCTAGATGACCGGCCCAGTGACTCTTTCTCTCCACCTTGCCCGCCATAATCACTTTGTCTAAGTTATACAGCTGTTGGTCTGCAAGGTGAGCAAAGTAGCCGAGGATCCTCTGGTAGCAGATTGTTGAGAGCCTTCACATCCGAGTCAGGCTCTCGATGTCTAAAATTGGTCCGATTTGATAAATTATTTCAGTGTCAGATAGCTTATTTATTTAGGAAGGCTATAGGCTGTACTTAGTCTGGCCATAAATACTGTTACAATTAAAAATAAACAAAGTATTACATTTCAATTTGGAATCTTATCATTTTTATATGATTGCTCATTGAGTTTTCTCATTTTGGCGCCAATACATTGTACAATATTTTGCGATATTAAAATGGAGTGGGGTGATAAAGAGAACCGAATCGCTGTGATTGCATTACACAAAGTAGGCATGGAGCCAAATGCAATTTTTAAAACTCTCCATACGCTTGGTAATAGTAAAATGTTTGTTTTATTTTATATGATTGAAGGATTACTGGTGGCCCGGAGGCCTTTCCAGTTTTACCAGGACAGGTGGGCGAGCAAAGGCTCAGCCAGGAGGGCTAATAAAATGTTTGTGTACCTGGCTATTAATAGGTGCAATGAGACCTCATCTTTTTGTGACAGAAAAATATCTGGCCGTCCACGTAGTGTTTGTACGAAAAAGGTGGTCAAAGCAGTAAGGGAAAGAATTCGAAGAAATCCTGTCCGAAAGCAAAAGATTTTATCTCGGGAGATGAAGATTGCACCTAAAACCATGTCGCGTATTTTAAAAGATGACTTAGGACTTGCTTGGCAGTGAAAATTTTTCCCATGGAAAGAGCGTGCTTCTATTGATAACTGGCCTCAACGTTTAAAGGACTGTATTGCAGCCAATGGAGACCACTTCGAATAAGCTTTTTATATTTTAAATTGTTTTATATTTATGTATTAAACTAACACACTGTAAAAGTAATAAATGTTATTTGCCATATAATTTTTTTTCTTTTCCTTTGTAACAGTATTTATGGCCAGACTAAGTATAACATCACGCCAAGACTAATGCACGCGGAGAACCAATAAAGAATGTTTCAAAATCGGTTAAAGTTTCGAATTGTTCCCCTTTAAAAGATCTAAAAAAAAGTCCCCGACAGCATGTCTATGTGTTAAGGTCTATAACCTTTTTTTATGCTAACCAAATTCGTTCTAAAATAAAGCATTATTTGTGAAGGTGTTTTTATAAAGATAAAGGAAGTATAATCCCTATCCTAATAAATACATTATTCACTACACAAATCACTCCAAGATAGGCTTTGAAATTTTTTCTGGATTTCTCCAGGATCTCAGCATCAGATCTTGATGATTACAGGATCATCATTCGGGAAGTCTACCCTTTCGAACAAAAAAAAGAAAAAAGAATTATCCGAATCGGTTTAAGCATTTTCGAGAAATCGGTGAACATAGATAAACAATTATGGTCGAATTGATAACTTCCTCTTTTGAAGTCGGTTAAAACGCGTGATTTTGGTACCTTATATAGCTCCTTAATATTCTATTATTCAAAAGTATTTTCACTTTCTACGTAAATGAAGAGGCGGGTAAAATTTAGCGTTATGCCAAAGTAACTATTCCACGAGGACGAAGTCGCAGGCAAAAGCTAGTATACTTATATATGTATACAGAATCTGTTCAACACGTGTTTATGTGTGAATCGAACCCACTTAGCTTCTGCACCTCTGCTGTGTTGGGAGCTTCAACTACTGTACCACCGAGTCTGTCAGTCTCATTATTAACTCAAATTATTGTGATGTGTAGACTATAGAGACAAATTTCTATTTACATCAACTAATGCTATTTAAATCAAACCCGCAAAATTATAATTTGCGTAATCCATGGTGGTAGGACCTCTTGTGAGTCCGCACGGGTAGGGTGATGGTCCTTGCCTATTTCTGCCGTGAAGCAGTAATGCGTTTCGGTTTGAAGGGTGGAGCAGCCGTTGTAACTATACTGAGACCTTAGAACTTATATCTCAAGGTGGGTGTCATATTTACGTTTTAGATGTCTATGTGCTCCAGTAATCACTTAACACCAGGTGGGCTGCGAGCTCGTCCACCCATCTAAACAAAACAAAAAAAAAACAATTCATTTGTTTCAGATATCAACGATTTTCAGAAAATCGCACGTTTATGCAGAGAGTCTGCGATATGATGCCTGGAACGGGTTCAAGTGTACTAGCCATAATCTTGTTGTGCGGGTTGTCCCTTGCAAGTTATTGGGCAGTCGGCGGTACCATCGGCGGGTCCTGGGGCGAGGAGCATTACAAGTAAAATAAGTTTAAATAAACTAATTATTTGTTTTTTTTATTCTATAGTTCTTGTTGCAGCTAGTGGCAATTTTCATGCATTCATACGGTTTTTCAATAGTTATTATTGGCACCATAAATATTAACTCTCTCATGTAGATTTGATCCTTCTTCCTATATTCATATATGGTTTGTAATGCAAGGTAGTTAAGATTCTCTCAATTTCGAATCAAGTGCTTAATGCCTTTTTAATGTTATTGTTTCCCCAATCCCTATTTCATTAAAAATACCTTCTATTGTCTTCTGATTAAGTTGGTTACGGGTTCCAATACAGGGTTGATAAGGCAAGGGTTGAGTGACCTGGACCCTACTGCTTTAGTTTTTATGAGACAATGTTATTCTGTCAATGTGAAAATCTTTAATGTACATGTCATGTTAATTACAGATTCCTAATTATAAAATTTGAGTTCTGCCTGAGGGATTTGAATACTGGCATAGTTGCTTTTCTTGATAGGAGTAGACAGAGAGTTTTGTCCTTTAGGCCACAAAGATTAGTATCTGTGTTCATTTTAACAAGACTTCTTACACCTTACATGATTTCTTACATAGAAATATGAACTAATTCCAATGCAGACAATAATAGAATTGAAACCACAAACTAGAATACGATACTTTTAAACCTATAATATTATTTATCAGCAGCATTGGTGTAAGTTAGCATTTGTTAAGCTTTATGAATCATGAATATTGTTTATTGTATTTTTTTGTTTGTTTATAATATCTAGACGTCCTTGTTGTAAGCGGTTACTGATGCTTATGGATTTCAGCAATACAGGGGTACAGCTGAGCCTCTGCCTATCGAATATGCTAATTGATAACGGCAAAGGACCTATTTTGTTTTACTAAATGGGTAAATAAGGATATGCCCTTGATATATTTATTACTGGTGGTAGGACCACTTGCGAGTCCGCACGGGTAGGTACCACCGCCCCGCCTATTTCTGCCGTGAAGCAGTAATGCGTTTCGGTTTGAAGGGTGAGGCAGCCGTTGTAACTATACTGAGACTTTAGAACTTGTATCTCAAGGTGGGTGGCGCGTCTACGTTGTAGATGTCTATGGGCTCCAGTAACCACTTAGGTAGGCTGTGAGCTCGTCCACCCCGCTAAGCAATAAAATAAAATAAAATGCCCACCTGGAGTTAGCCGGTCTCATAGACATCACAACATGAGTGCTGCTATCCATTTTGATATATGAGGTCGTAGTCTCAATAGAATGGTATAGAAGCTGTCCAACTCTTTAAAATGGAAGACGTGACGATTTCGTGGCAGATATAGACAGAACAGTGGTTTCTAGTCGTCTTCGTTCCCCTCTAGAACCAGTGGTATGTTATAATAACAGTATGTAGTTTAACATTTTCTCCACAAGCAAGAACATGTTCCTTTGATGAGTAATATTAATGACATGCCACATACATGATCTACATTCATATTACTACTCTGCAAAAAGTATCAGTAAAGTGTTTATACCGTCAGAAATGTAATTTGTATGAATCTAATAAACAATATGTAATGCTTATTGTATTTAATTTTGTTATCGTATGAAAACGATTAGAGAACGAAAACGAACTAGAGGTCGTTCAACTTTTGATGCAGGTGTAGATCTTATTAAAAATATTTTTCAGGCTTGGGAGGAATCGCATAATGCCCTTGGGGTATTTTTGAATTTGAATTGAGTTTTAATTCTGGAGAAATATTTGAAAAAGCATAATTCGATGAATGAGTTTTTGTTTACAGGAAACTATGGGAGAGAACGCATCCCGAAAATGTGAAGAAACCTCTATCACCCATGCCACATGACAAGGTAAGTCCTTGAATCTTAAAAACTAATTACCTACTTTTAATTCGGTAGAACTATAAATGGTATGATAATGTACTATAAAGTAGATGAAACTTACAAAAACTGCTTACTTAAATTGATTACCAACTAGCTGTGCCTTTAACTTGGTCTGCGTGGAGTTAAGCCGTAACATGGAAAGGATTTTTATTTGTTTATTGGAACGAAGTTCCTTATGGGACGATGCGGAGGGGTACCCCAACCCTAACCTACGTCGGTAACGTAAGATTTTTATTAGTAATGCACACAAATGTATACCGGAATAATTATTTTCTTTATACCTCGAATAGAACTTAAAATTAATATTTATATAATAAAGAACTTCGTTCCTATCCGGTGTCCCACCACACATCTCACCACACGTCACGCCACACATTTTTAAACAACTTAACATAAACATAGCGCGATTCAGAGAAAATTCGTCAAATTGGCAAGGTAAAAAAAACTTGTTAGGTGGGTACCGCACGAATTGAACGATCGCCAGCGCGACGAACGCGTTAAAATATGCATTGCGTTGCTTAACAGACATAGAAGCGTAGGGTTTTCGAACCGTATTATCACTTGCGATGAGAAATGGATTCTTTCTAGACACGTTTGTTAGACCTTGATTCAGCTCATAGGCAATGCTCCAAACGAAAACTTAGCCCCAAAGAGTCATGGTCACTGTTTTGGTGGTCTACGGCCGATATAATTCAACACATAATGGCACCAGCATTATTGCGGATGTACACTGTGAAATGTGCAATGATGCAGAAGCTTGCGAATCTTCGACCAGTCTTGGCTAATCTCTCTTCCTCAATGCTTCCACACGACAACACTCAACCTCATACGACACAACAGACGGTCTAAGCTACAAAAGCTAGGATTGGTGTGGAGTTGGGTAGGTGGTGGGCTAGGGTTGTGTCTACCACCGTTGTCATTAGACGTTGCAGCGATAGACTTCTACTTTTTTCAAAGTTTGGATGTTTTATTTATTTATTTATTTATTTATTTATTTATTTATTACACTTCATGTAAAATTTACATTGGCGGACTTAATGCCTAAGGCATTCTCTACCAGTCAACCAAAGGTAGTGCAGAGTAAATAGTGGTAGGTGCAATGAAATTTATATTAGGTAACGAATACATACAAAAAAAGTATATCTACATATATACAAAATCACATATACATANATAACCCGCTACAAATCATTTATTAATAAAGCTTATTAAATATAAACAATTCCTTCTATCAGTGAATGGACAACTTATATATTAATTGTAAAAGTGAATTATATAGACTTACTTAATTACCGCATCCACGTGTTCCGCAACTCCCGGATCATTCTCACTAGAATACGTAACTTCCATATTTTACTGTATTCAACTGACACAAATTTATATTTATATCCAGTAAACTCCAGTCGTGCGTCGGAGCGGACACACACACTTTTTTTGTTTATTAAACAACTTAACATAAACATAGGTTTCAGACAAAATTCGTCAAATCGGCAAGGTAAAAAACTTGTTAGGTGGGTGCCGCACGAATTGAACGATCACCGGCGCCATGAACGCCTTAAAGTATGGATTGCGTTGCTTAACAGACATAGAAGCGTAGGGATTTTGAACCGTATTATCACTTGCAATGAAAAACTCCATTGGATTCTTTTTAGACACATTTGTTAGACCTTGATTCAGCTCATAGGCAATGCTCCAAACGAAAACTCACCCCAAAAGAGTCATTCATGGTCACTGTTTGGTGTCTAGGGCCCATATAATTCAACACCTAATGGCACAAGAATTATTGCGGATGTACACTGTGAAATATGCAATGATGGAGAAGCTTGCGAATCTCCGACCAGTCTTTGCTAATCTCTCTGGGAAGAGATAGTAGGGATACTGCTACTCTTTTTTTTTTAATGATTGAAAGTTTACTGGTGGCCCGAAGGCCTTTCCATTTTCACCAGGACAGGTGGGCGAGCAAAGGCTCAGCCAAGAGGGGCGGGATTTGCTAACAACTGCCCGAGCGCCTCCGAAGGAGACCTAACAACTCAAGAGCAATTGTTTCGCGAATGAATCTATTACCGGATCGGAATCGCGACCCGCTGAGAAGATCCGGCGAGAAACTCAGCGGGCTGATGCATTGGTTAGGTTGCACGTCGACCTCTTTCCACACGTTCACACGAACCACGGAGCCCCGACAGCTAACCTGCAAAAGCGGGATTGTAGGGATTGGAGGGTGTCTATGTGTGTGCGGGCCGCGTGAGCGAACACCACACTCGCGTAAGTCATGACGGGGGATACTGCTACTACACGACAACGCTCAACCTCATACGACACAACAGACGGTCTCTAACCTACAAAAGCTAGGGTTGATGTGGAGTTGGGTAGGTGGTGGGCTAGGGTTGTGTCTACCACCTTTGTCATCAGACGTTGCAGCGATAGACTTCTACTTTTTTCAAAGTTTGGATGTCTTCTTGGTAGGGAAAATATTCAATACTCGTGAGGCAGTATTAAATGCCTTTGAAAAGTTTGTTGGCTCCCATATACCGCACTTCTTTAAGAAGGGCATTGAAAAATGGCTACTGCTTTGGCTGACACAGATACTGTGGATGCAAGTTTCGATGAATTCAGAAGTAAAAAATATTTATAAAAATAAAATATTTTTGACTTGTAGCATACCAAAATTTCGTAGGTAAAGACCTAATATAGATAGAGATATCTAATATGGTGACTTCCATCATATTGCATGTACGGGTTTTGATAAAACTTCTAAAATGTAGGAGTCTGCCTTCTCAGCAGTGCTGCAATGTTTCAAATATCGTCAAAATGTTACACTCTAGAATAGCCTAATTTCGACCCCTTCGTATGGGCGTTGTTATGAAAGCTATACGTTTTAACTTGTGGGTTTGGAATCCTTCAACGCCGCAGACATTTTTAAGTCTCTGGACGCATTTATGGTTTGCAGCAGGTGATACCCGAATACAGGTACCACGACCACAACAACTTGAGCACCAAAAACAGAAGCAACGGAACTGAGGCTAAGAAGAAGGAATTCAGTAAGAAAAACGTGTACGTGGAACGTCCGGCCGCAGTCTTGCGCGAGCTGTGCGCGCTCGTCGCGGACAATATGAAGTTCGACTGCTACCCTCAAGGCGACATCAATGAGGAGAACTGCGTCAAACGAGGTGAGTCATTATTGTATACGCCGCTATTGAACAGGTTCTGGGGCTCCCGGTATTTGAACCTTTTTTTTTATTGTCTACATGGGTGGACGAGCTCATGGCCCACTTGGTGTTAAGTGGTTACCGGAGCCCATAGACATCTACAAGGTAACTTCCGCCACTCATCTCGAGACATGAGTTGTAAAGTTTCACTTTTAATAGTACACTGTCCACGCCGAACCCATCGCTTGCGACGAAGGAAATCGATGAATAAATTAACCCACTGAGTTTCTCGCCGGATCTTCTGAGTGAGTCGCGTTTCCGATCCGGTAGTAGATTCTGCGAAGCACTGCTCTTGGTAAAGCCAGTGTTAGCAACACTCCCGGTTTAAGCCCCGTGAGCTCAATTATACGTTAGGGTGGAAATAGCCTCTCAAGGTCATCAGGATAAGTAGGAAAAAAAAAACAGTACAACGGCCACGCCGCCCTTCAAACTGAAACGCATTACTGCTTCACGGCAGAAATAGGCGGGGGGTGGTACATACCCGTGCGGACACACAAGAGGTCCTACCACCAGTAAAATAATGTCTTCGCAGGTTGCTGCTGGAAGGTTACACAGATGAAGGGCGCTCCGTATTGCTACTACCCGTCGCAGTACGACACGTTCCGTTTCGTGAACATGACCGAGGACAAGCACTCCATGACCGTGTTCTACGAGAAGGCTCGACCCTCCGGTTATCCGGACGACTTTGAACTAGTCCGAATGGATTTTAAATATATGTCCGATGAAATTTTACAGATTAAGGTTGGTGTTTCATTATCTATACTCGTAAATTAATCCTCCTCCTCCTTGCGTCGATAATCCTCAGTGCTGAGGGTCGTGGCCTCCGCTAGTAACTTTCTCCTGAATTATCTGCGTGAAGCAAAAACTTTGTACTCCTTTTTACGAAAATTGTGCAGACGGAAGAGTATGAAATTTCCTACACTTTTAAAGAATATAGAGAAGGAGTGCAGAATGTTAATATTTTTTTCATATTTTGCATTGAAAATACATTAAATCAGTAATAAAAACATTACACACACACAAACACACACGCATAAACAAATTTATTTATTGTCAAACTTTTGTTATTGTTTAAAATCTGTAGTCAAGTTGAGAATAGATTAATATTGTTTGTCTTTATTAATATTTGTCTATAGTGTAGTCTTGGCCAAATCTGTGATTATAGAACTATAATAATATTGGACAATAGAACCATAATAATGTTCAAACTTATAATTTCAATTAATTATAGTCGAATTTCGACTACCGGGAGACCACTACTTCTCTATAAAATAGGCAGTGGGTTGGATCGGCTTCTTGTATTGCTCGGTGATCCTTGAAAGCTATAAGAACGTCAAAAGAAGCAAAACAAACTAGGCTTTTACTTCTTTTGGCAGTAATTAAATAATTATAAGTAGTAATTTGTAAGCAGATATCGTATAATTTAGTGATTTACACCCATTATACGCAGCCACTATGCATGGAGGTTCCCCGCGGAATTTTGTACGCTATACATTGCGGACTAGCAAATACATATTACAAAACTAATAAAATTGTACACAAATCTATACTTATTATTATAAAGAGGAAAGATTTGTTTGTTTGTTTGTATTAAATAGGCTCCGAAACCACTGAACCGATTTGAAAAATTCTTTCACTGTTTAGAAGCTACACTATTCCCGAGTGACATAGGCTATAATCTTTTTTGGAAAAAATTAGGGATATACTACCAATACCACAGCGTGAATGCTCACCCTGGGACATGAGGTCCCAATCTGAGCGTACTGTAATAGGGTTTGCGGCATACATAGGCAGAATGTCGATACTTACCCGTTTAAGCCTACAGTGCACTCTAGTTTTACAATAAACGAAACTATCATACAATTAAGTAGCACAATATTTAAATGTGGACGAAAAATATCTTAGTCCTCCATGACCACGAAAATTAAAATATTCAAAACGTCGGTAATAATGTAATGACAGTAAGAACGCGAGATTAAACCGTAAAAGTGGTTACAATTGGGTCTGCAACTCGTTCACATTTGTAACCACAGTATCTTATCATAGGGTAATCTAATCATGAAGTCGTCGTGGCCTAAAAGATAAGACGTCCGGTGCATTCGTTTATAGCGATGCACCGGTGTTCGAATCCCGCAGGCGGGTACCAATTTTTCTAATGAAATAGGTACTCAACAATTGTTCACGATTGACTTCCATGGTGAAGGAATAACATCGTGTAATCAAAATCAAACCCGCAAAATTATAATTTGCGTCATTACTGGTGGTAGGACCTCTTGCGAGTCCGCGCGGGTAGGTACCACCACCCCGCCTATTTCTGCCGTGAAGCAGTAATGCGTTTCGGTTTGAAGGGTGGGGCAGCCGTTGTAACTATACAGAGACCTTAGAACTTATATATCTCAAGGTGTGTGGCGCATTTACGTTGTAGATGTCTATGGGTTCCAGTAACCACTTAACTCCAGGTGGGCTGTGAGCTCGTCCATACATCTAGGCAATAAAAAAAAGGTGTAGGGAATCCAATTACAACGTTTTTCAAAAAGTTAACTTGGAAAAAAAAATTGATCTGGATTTTTTTCATTGTTTTTCCATGGGTATGTAGTATGTGCATGAAAAGCCGGGATATCAAAAAGATCGATGCCTTTTAAATGTGGGTGTGGCGGAGGATGCTACGAATACCGTGGCGTCCTAAGGCAGCTAAACATCCGAAAAAGGCTCTCTTCCATCTGCCGGGAACATGTTATCAGCTTTTTCAGACACGTCATGCGGCTTAGAGAAGCTCATAATTGCGGGTCGCATAGAGGGCAAGCGCGCCGTGGGCCAGATGGTCAGACCTAGTAAGGGAAGCACTTGGTGGTAGTCTGTACCATGCGGTCCGTGCCACCCATGATTGATCACAGTGGAGGAACGTCACATGTGGTCGCAATCCTCAGTAGTAAGGGAACGATATAGATTAGATGTAGTTATTGACCAGACCATACACCGGTATCGGCCTATCGTTGAATTTTGGGACACGTATGTATGTATTTTATAATTTTTATTTCAGATATATGATGGCGAAAATAACCGATTCGAACCACCTTACCCAGAAATATCGATGGGCTCCAAGACCCTGACGGATATGAAATACAGAGTTGTCTTGGAAGGCTCGAAGATAGGGTTCAAAGTGATAAGGAATTCTGATGATGTTGTCATGTGAGTGTTGAACCATCTTCTTGTACTTGCAGGACTTTTTTTTTATTGCTTAGATGGTTGGACGAGCTCACAGCCCGCCTGGTGTTAAGTGGTTACTGGAGCCCATAGACATCTACGACGTTAATGCGCCACTCACCTTGAGATATCAGTTCTAAGGTCTCAGTATAGTTACAACGGCTGCCCCACACTTCAAACCGAAACGGATTACTGCTTCACGGCAGAAATAGACAGGGTGGTGGTACCTACCCGCGCGGACTCACAAGAGGTCCTACCACCAGTAAACATGCTAGTAACTTGGCATGGCCGGTGCTGGGAGCCAGTGGATTTGTGAACTATCACTAATTGTAACTGAATCACTGCCTAAGCAAGATTGTACCAAAGTACTGTAATCTGTTCGGACTCATAGCACATACACAACTATACATCTCTACAAAATGTTGTTTAAAATAAATGAAGACATGAGTGGATGAAGGGGATATGATACAATTTGTTAATTTTGAGAAAACGGGTAACAAACTTTTGTTACTTGTACTTTTTCTTCGTACATAACTCCCTAATCTACAAGCAATTTATAAAAATAGCTTTTAAATCCGAAGTTTTAAGGTCTAATATGGTTTATAGGCACATAACACCATTATTCAATGTAAAACCTCAAAAATCTTAAAAATGTTACTTAACCCCGTAATCCACTCGTGTCTTCTATTAGTACTTTAAATGGGACTCACAAGTTGGTGGCCATTGGATGAATCAATGTAAAAACTCAAAAATCTTAAAAATGGCACTTAACCCCTTCATTCACTCATGTGTTCAGATCATAGTTTACCTTACTGCTTCACAGTTTCAACACCCAGGACGTGGGAGGGCTGATATTATCGGACAAGTTCCTTCAGATATCAGCAATACTTCCCACCGACCACGTGTTCGGCCTGGGAGAGAAGCGAGCGAGGTTCATGAACAACATGGACTGGCAGACCTTTGCCATATTCAACAGAGACAGGCCACCCACGGAAGGGGTGAGCTACCTTATATTATCTTGATGGCTTTTGGTGAAAATGATATATTTTTTTTAATCCTACCTAAGCTGATAGCCCTGAGAGGTTATGTCAGCGTAACCGAGCGAGTAGGTGAGCTCACGGGGCTCAAACCGGAGTGTTGCAAACACTGGCCCTAGCAAGAGCCGTGCTTCGCAGAATCTACCACCGGATCGGAAACGCGACCCACTGAGAACCTCTGTGAGCTCGTCCATCCATCTAAGCAATAAAAAAAAAAAAGATCCGGCAAGAACCTCTGTGGGTTGTATCTATGGGTGACAATATGTAATGAGAAAAGCTATGCGAAGGTATTGTATCGAAAACAGGTTTGATGTTCTCGAATGAAGATATAACAATTTTTATTTAACGGCACCGACTTATTTTGCTGTCGCTTCTTCATCACCCATAGTTTATACAGGTGTCAAATTGAGCAAACTATTCCATGGGTATTGAAAAATGTTGTTCTAATACTTATCAAAGTTTTCATTCTAGGCTTTCACACTACGACCCTCACGTCTAGAGCAATAAACAACTAATCTTTTAATCCGTTTTTTTTTAGCTTAATTTGTATGGCACGCACCCTTTCTATCTGGCCGTGGAACAAAACGGACAAAGTCACGGGACGCTTCTACTCAATTCTAACGCTATGGGTTGGTATAAGAACATTCTTAGTGATAATATTGATATTTAATTTTTTTATCGCTTAGATAGGTGGACGAGCTCACAGCCCACCTGGCGTTAAGCGGTTACTGGAGCCCATAGACATCTACAACGTAAGTGCGCCACCCACCTTGAGATATAAGTTCTAAGGTCTCAAGTATAGTTACAATGGCTGCCCCACCCTTCAAACCGAAAGGCATTACTGCTTCACAGCAGAAATTGGCAGGGTGGTGGTACCTACCCGTGCGGACTCACAAGAGGTTCTACCACCACCTATCATTTTTCATAAAAAAATCCCATATCATATCATCTCATTTCATTTCATGTCATATTGCATATTAATCAACTTCATTTCATTTCAAAATATCATATAGGTATTGTCATGAAAAATATATAAAAGATTAGGCTGCATGGTATGACACCTTTGCCTTCCCATTTGGAAAAATAAAACTACTACTACTAGTACTGTTACGTGACGGTATTGACTGTGCGCTGATTGTCGGCAGACATAGTGCTGCAGCCGAGCCCCGGCATCACGTACCGCGCGACGGGCGGCGTGCTGCAGCTGTTCGTGCTGGCGGGCCCCAGCCCCGCGCTCGTCGCCCGCCAGTACACGGAGCTGGTGGGCCGGCCCTTCATGCCGCCCTACTGGTCCCTGGGCTTCCATCTGTGCAAGTGAGCGAACCCACTCAATGCCCGATTCTACGATTCCAGGATTTTACTGATTAGCGTTCCATTAAAAGACTTCGAGCCCGAATTGTCTGCTATGTTTTGGTTACGGGAAACACAAATGTGACTGCAATAACTAATAAATTCATCAATTGTACTGACAATGGAAAATCTTGACGGGGCGATCTTTTAATATTTTTTTTAATTTTTTTTATTGCTTTTGTA